AGGAGAGGACATCACAGCAAATCTGATCCTCATAGCTGTCTATTTTAATGGAAACTATATATTGACTTGTGATGTGGAGGGATATATGATTTATCGTAATGTATGTATATATGTTGTGTAAATCTTAATCGCATAAGCTGTAACGGTTATTTTGATTATATGCTGGGACTTTGATTTATTCTATTGATCTTTATGGGATATGGAGTCTGGTAGGAGTCTCCTTGGTATGCATGCAAGAGTACAACTAATATTACTGGCATGATGTCATTCAAGTTTAAGCTTTTGAGTGTGACAGAAAATACTTTTATATATCTCCCAAATTAATTAAATGTTGAAGATGTACAATTTATTTCTGCTTCAGGCACAACGGACATTGTAGCAGGTGCAGTGATTCCTTCTCAAGAAGCTCAAAGTGAGAACCTAGTAAACATAACATCAGCCGCTACTCAGCCTCCTGTGACTGAACCTTCGGTTCTAGCTCAATTTAATAGAAACCAAGGGAACAATGATCCTTTGGCTCAAGTTGAGACATATCAGATCAACTTCCTCCGTCTTGTCCAACAAATTGGGCAGTCACCAGCAAATGCTGTTGTTCCTCAGGTCCTATACCGGTTAGAACTTGCAAACTTGATACGAGCTGGCGAATCTAGTACAAAGAAGACTGGCCTTAAGATTGATAAAGCAAGAGCTGTAGCATTAGCTCTGGAGGAGTCAGGCCAAGATGATGTTAACTTCTCTTTAAAGATACTTGTACTGGGAAAGACTGGTGTGGGTAAGAGTGCAACCATAAACTCTTTATTTGATCAGGCAAGAGTAACCACCAATGCATTTCAACCTTCAACTGAGAGTATTCAGCAGGTTTTTGGGACTATCAAAGGAATCAAAGTCACAATTATTGATACACCAGGCCTTTTACCTTGGAATAACAACCAGCGTAGGAACAGGAAGATCTTGACTGATGTTAGAAAGTTTATCAGGAAATCCCCTCCAGATGTCATTCTCTATTTTGAACGACTTGATTTTTATAACAGGGGCTACTATGATTTCCCGTTACTTAAACTTATCACGAAAGTATTTGGTTCTTCCATCTGGTTTAACACTATTCTTGTCATGACACATTCTTCATCTCCTTTACCAGAAGGAATGAATGGCTATCCGGTAGGCTACGAGGAATTTGTAGGCCAGTATACAAACCTTCTGCAATCATATATACACCGAGCTGTGTCCAATACTCAGCTTGAGAATCCTGTTCTTTTAGTGGAGAATCATCCCTTGTGCATGAAAAATTCCAACGGCGAGAAGGTACTTCCCAATGGCCAGGCTTGGCTGTCACAGCTTTTGCTGTTAAGCATAGCTACAAAGGTGTTGGGTGATGTAAATTCCCTTCTTAAGTTTCAAGACAGCTTTCAGTTAGTAAAGTTTGATAGTCTCAGACAGCCTTCATTACCACATCTCCTGTCATCACTTCTTCAACCACGATCTTCTTCGGCCACTATTGGTGGAAATGATGTTGAGGTGGATGACCTATCTGACAGAGAGGAGGATGAATATGATCAGCTTCCACCTATCCATATCCTAACCAAGGCCCAGTACCAGCAACTATCCAGATTGCAGAAAAATGCTTATCTTGATGAATTGGACTATCGTGAGACTTTGTATCTAAAGAAACAATGGAGAGCAGAGGTTCGAAGGCAGAAAGAAAACATGATTCCAAATATTGGTGTATCTGAAAGCAGTGAATATGAAGACAGCTATTCAAATGAGGTTGTCCAGCTGCCGGACATGGCTATTCCACTAAGTTTTGACTCCTACTGCGCTTCTCATAGATACCGCTGTTTGCTGGGAACTAATGAATGGCTTCTTCGGCCTGTTCTGGATTCCCATGGATGGGATCATGATGTTTGTTTTGATGGGATCAGCTTGGATTTTTCTAAAGAAATCAAGAGAAATCTCACTGCTTCGGTTGCAGGACAGATGAGGAAGGACAAGGAGGATTTCAGTGTCCAATCAGATTCTGGAGTATACTTTGTGCATGGAAGGTGCCTTTTTCTTTCAGCTTTTGATATTCTAACGGCAGGTAAGGATTTGGTATGCACATTTCGTGGAGATGCCAAGTTCAAGAATTTGAAGTGCAACACTACAGGATGCGGGCTTTCTCTTACTTCATATGGCAAAATGCAGTTTATTGGAGCCAAGCTCGAGGATTCCATTTCACTTGGAAGGAGGTTTAAGCTTATAGCCAATACAGGCAGTCTTGTAGGCAATAGTCAAGTGGCATACGGTGGAAGCTTGGAGGCAACATTAAGAGGAAAGGATTTTCCCGTGAGAGATGAGAAAGTGACCGTTGCTGCTAACTTCCTTTCATTTGATAAAGACATGGTCCTTGGAGGAAGTTTGTTGGCTGACTTCCGGGTAGGTCGTGTTGCAAAGATGTCCTTCAATGCAAATATGAACAGCAGAAGCTTAGGTCAGATTTCATTGAAGGCCAGCACATCAGAACATTTTGAATTGGGTTTAATAGCGGTTGTTTCACTTATTCAAGCTATGTTCCATCGGAGAAATAATAGCCATGTGTGGGAAAAGTCATGAATCATTTAATCAACCAATGTAGTGCAATTGTGACACCTCTTCAGTGTATTTTACTTGATATTTGGACAGCTTCTATTTCGAGGAAGGGAAATCAGCTGATCAGTATCTAAATCTATTAATACTAGCACATGTTTCTATTCGGTTTGCAGATCATTTCTCGCAGCCACTTATTTGGAAAAAAACTGAAAAATAATGGCTTCCACTTGATTTTAAGTTATGTGACTAATATCCCAAGTTTTGTTCATAGGATATGTACTGTTGTTGACCAAGTTTTGGTCATAGTGAAAAAAACTTAATGTAGCTCAGGAAGTGTCATGCTTA